TTTGAAGACATGAGCAGATGAAAACAAAAGACAATGCTTTGAAATGGTTGAAAGTAATATTAGAATTGGATATTATTTGCTAATAATCAGTCACTATGATGTGTACAAAGGGCAGATGTGACTCAGAAGACAAAGATTACACTTATCGGAAGATCGAAGGCATAGGCATCAATATGTGACTGTGAGTGAGTGAGCATTAGATTAGATGATGAACAGTTTGGCACCTTGTATGGCAACCTTTCCATTATGTGTGTGAATGGCTTCATCTTCGCATATAATGTAAGCTAAAGTGACTATGAAGATACAATACAAAAGTCAATTTACCATTCAAATGCGTATAATAGTAAAGGATGTCATGAGGCCTCGACACATTGATTTCCCCTGTAGTGCACACATGAATAATATCCATACAACAGCTCTGAACTCTTGTTCTCTTCTGTCTAATAATCATATACACATCTGTATCCTAATCCATTACTGCACAGGTGACCTGTTACCTGCCTGATGTGTTTGCATTATCTGTTTGGATCATTAGTAGCTGTTAGCGTATTGCTAAGGTCTCTATATCCCTATGGAGATCATATGCCTATATACATTGTGTTTTAATAAAGCTTCCCGTGGGACATGTTGTGGGAAAAAAGACAGCACTCCAGTGGTAGAAAAAACAACTTTTTATGGATTTCATTTCCAGCTAATGGACTGACAAAACTGCTGACACCTTTTCAATATCAAACCTTCATGAATAGAGAATAATAGAACATACTGTGTGTCCATTAGCTCAAAATGAGATGAGGAAGACACCAGATGCTACATTTTACTTGAATTTGTTTTACATTGCTGCATCTTTTGAAAGGCACAGAACCCCACTCAATTTAAGAGAAGGCAGAATACATTCATCCTCTAAGGAACTAGAGCGTAAAATATATATTTTAAATGAATAAGGTCTCATATTTGGTTGATTAAATTGTCATTTTCTTATACGCACGAACAAGATGATTTCTCACGCAATATGTCACGCTCTCTGTGTGGTGTGTGATGACAACAGATGCCCATTGTTTGTCTCTTACTCATCTCCTCCGAAGCTGAGCATCAAGTATGCATAGTCCATTATTTTAAAAGCAGTCCCATCCTGGAGAATAAAACAATCTGCCACGCTTACTCTACCGCAGGTGTGTATTTCTTTCCCATAAACTACGGTCTGCATGAGAGGGTTTCCATCACACACTGTATAGCTGAGCCAACGTGATAAGCCCATTCTTGATTGCTGCTCAGATTCAGTTTACCCAGCCTCCATTCAAACAAAGAAACAACAAAGGATCAGATAAATAAATGGATGGAAGCCCAACACCAGGCCCTGCCCTTCACACACATTAGTTTACTCTGGACAACATGAGAGGGGGCTCAAGTTTCAGTCATATGGAGCTTTGGGGTCAAACTAACATTGACCTTTGAACACCATATACTAATTAGTTCCTCCAAGTGGATGTGTTTTACGAAATTTGAAGAAATTCCTACCAAGTGACCCCGAGATATTACATTCCGCATTTGTGTAAAGGAAACCCATTTATAATTTCCCTTTGTTTTTATTCATCTATTGTACTTTATGGGACCTCATTCAGCATTAACATTAATGTTCCCATTGTATTTATTGTAGCAGAGTTAGCTCAAAGGTCATTGCTGTATGCCAAGGCAGGTCTGCCTTCACTTACTGTACGGAGGCTCAGTCATTGGTACATATTCATCTATAAAGCTATGTTGGGTAAACTCCCAACTTATATATGCTCTTTGATCTCACAGAGAGTGGCAAGTAGCTATTGCCTGAGATCCCAGCATGTGTTTTTATTACATGTGCCAAGTGCTAGGACTGTTTTAGGTACTAAAGCTTGTATGTGCGCTGCTCCTCTAGCTTGGAACACCATGCAAAACACATTGAAACTGAGCATTTTGATTCCCTTGCATCATTTTAAAGCACGGCTGGATGAAATGTTATTAGATACCTGTCATTGTGAATAGGTTGCTAATTTATACCCCTGTAATTATGTTGTGATGTCCTTTTTGTTTTCTGTTGTTTTTATGTGTAACCAATGTACCGCAGGTCTCCCTTGAAAAAGAGATCGTTGATCTCAATGGGATTTTTCACCTGGTTAAATAAAGGCTACAAACAAACAATTGCTCATCTGTATTAATTTTTGAACTACAGTATGTAGACTATAATTATGTTAAACTCAAGCTCACAAATAAGCTTTAAACATAATGTACAAACCTGCATTACCACAAAGCAACCAGCAGGATAGGTTCAAGTCGAACTGGATGTCTACACAACCCGTTTATAGCAGCATGTTAGCAAGCAGTGGCTTCATCCCTGAGTCTGTATCTGTAGGCCTACAGACACAGTATCAAGGTAAGATTTTTTTAAATAACCACTAGCTGTATTGGGTTTCTGCTGAAGTCATTAGGACAAAACCTGACTCTAAAACAGCAATGTGTGTATTTCCTCAAAAACAAATTTAGGGAAGAGAAGGCATGACTCCAGTTCTACCCAAAAATCCTTTTAGTGGATTTTGTTTTCGGCTAATAGACTGACAAAACTGCTGACACAGTTCAATACTAAGCCTTTTTTTAAATACAGAATAACAAAACAAACTCTTTGTCCCTCAAAATAAAATGACACAGAAACAAGATGCTGCCTTTTCCTGGATTTGTTGTGGGAAGACACACTGCTGCAACTGAAAGTGAAATTAAGTGAGGGAGAGGTACGCATTTTTCCCTCTTATGAGCTAGACTGTAGAACCAGATTTTAAATAAATGAAGTGCCCTAACTTGTTTATCAAATTGTCTTTTTCTTATATACACAAACACGAGGATTTCTCACGCAATATGTCAGGTGGAAGCGCTCTCTGTGTGGTGTGTGATGACAACAGATGCCCATTGTTTGTCTCTTACTCATCTCCTCCGAAGCTGAGCATCAAGTATGCATAGTCCATTATTTTGAAAGCAGTCCCATCGTGGAGAATAAAAGAATCTGCCACACTTACTTTATCACGAGTGTGGATTTCTTTCCACTACACTGTGTTCTGCATGAGAGGGTTTCCATCACACACTGTATAGCTGAGCCAACATGATATGCCCATTCTTGATTGTTGCTCAGATTAAGTTTACCCAGCCTCCATTCAAACAAAGAAACAGCAAAGGATCAGATAAATAAATGTGTGGAAGCCCAACACCAGGCCCTGCCCTTCAAACACATTAGTTTACTCTGGACAACATGAGAGGGGGCTCAAGTTTCAGTCATATGGAGCTATGGGGTCAAAGTGGAGGCATATTAGGACCTTTGATGTTTTCTGAAAAAATACTCAGTGTTTGGTTCAACAACTTTAGCCATTAGCAGGGATGTCCAAGCAGCTGTCCACTGACGCTCCTCCTCCATGTCCACTAGCTCATTAGCCACGGCCATTAGACACCATGTCATCAGCAGCATGCTTGGTTAGCCTGACCAGAAGCCTGCAACAATCAATACCCAATTATTCTCAAGATATGAGTCACTGGGAAAACATTTGGAAAGCACTGATCTGCCTCTCAGGTGTAGGGTTATGTTCCCCAGTAACAGTGAAGTGCTCCTCTCATGAATAAACATCCACCACACGCTGAACCACACCGAATCTGCTGTAAACATTTAAGATATGAACTCCAGCCAGCCGTACAATAGCTTCACCTTTCCCAGAGTCACCCACGCTCATCGGGATGGAAAATAATCGCTGGAAAATTAATGTCAATTACCCAACTCTGATGTCAATTATTCAACTTGACTGCAGTTGTGTGGAGCTTTTCAGCACCTCTGAGAAAGGGAAAAAAAATGTGTTTTTTTGCACCAACTCCTCCCCTATAGCACCTTTTATGTTGCTGTGACTCTGGGGTGTAACGAACACAGCAAGAGATCACTCGCTATTCCGAAGCTTGTGAAAACCCAAGAGGTGTTGAAAGTCAGAAAGCACATTTGACACCATTTAGAAAAAGGGATGGTACAAGAGTTCAATCTCACTGGCTCATGAGATTGGCATTTAGATTCCTTAAACTTTTTCATCTAAAAATATCTCTTGCATCAGATTTCAACACCTGAATGTGTCACATCCTCCCCTTTTCCTCTCACTACAACCATCATGGCCTTCGTGTCTTTATCAGCCCTGAGGTGAATTTAACTGTGGCCCGCTGGAGCACATTTGAAGTCTGGTCACAGATTCACAGATGGAAAAAAAACATGAATGATTTGCATCAAAGATAACAGCGCCGCAGGGAAGTGAGGACGGGTGAAGCCTGTTTATTTGGAAATATAGACAGCTTCAAATTGCATGACCCTGGGCTCCATGAAAGATTTAGTAGCTCGGATAATATTGTTTGTTTTTGTTGCTGATACCTTAGTGTAGATTATTTGAGAGGGTACTGTTTTTTTTCAGAAAAACAAATTGTTGGATATCTGAAAAGCAAATTTGAAGAGATTTAATGAGATGTCTCATAGTTTCAGTTTTTTTTTAACTGAGCCAAAGACAATAGATTCGAAGGGAAAAGTGTCCAGTACTGTACTGGGTTGCTTTGTAAGCTTTATTTGACACATGTGTGGCCCATTGCAATAATAATTCCTGAATGACAGATGTCTGTTGCAGCTGCAGGGTCCTCAAACACAACGTCTGTAGTTCAAATCTACACAAGCTGTTCATGTTTTCCTCTAAATTAATGTAGGGGAAATCAAGTCTAATATTATAATGGTATAGTGTGATTTGAAAAGGAAATGTCATGTTTTCTGAGATGTACATTGATGTATGTTTTTATGTTGGTAAGCTATCACGCATAGTATAACATCACTGCATCATGTACATTAGGAAAACCTCAGCCAACATCATTATTCTGGAAAAGAAAATGTTGAGAAAATTCAAAACAACAAATTGATTATAAAAGGGACCTCATGAATCTCACTGAAGGTAAAAACAAAATAAAAAATGACTTACATTGACTGTCGAATTTCCGGATGATGGTGTCCAGGAAGGTGTTCTGCGGAGCCACATGGCCCCTCCGGACCGGCATCTTCGCTGCGGTAGCCCCTGCACTTTGCGAGACTTTGCGGGACTTTGAATGATCTCACGCGCGCGATGTTCAGTGCGCTCCCTGCATGGAGACCCAACACTCACGGGTCCAATAATCCAGGGGGGGGGGGGGGGGGGGGGGGGCAAAGTTTACCCAAGTTGCTCAGAGAGGCTGCAGCTTCTCGTGTCCCTCAGAGAAAGTGAGGAGAGGAGAGTTCTGGAAATTAGGTAAACGCACGGCAGATCCGGGCCGTTTCCAGCCTCCAGTTTGCAGGTTAAGAGAGACGAAGGTGTCTGTTTCTGTCCCCTGAGGGGGGGGGGCGCCTGTCAGCTGATATTTCCTCCTGCTCTCACACAGCACAGCTCTCATCCTGCACTACAGCCCGCTCCTCACAAGCAGACTGGCCGAGCTTCCATGCGAGCGTCGTTGGAGCCATAGTTGTGGCGCGTTTTCTTTATTTATTTCTCATTCCACCTCCTTTAAACAATGTCTGTGTTTAACAGTGGAGAGATGGAACACAGTTGTGCGTTACAGGAAGCAGTAGAGCACAAATCCGCAGCTTGAACCGTCCTGGATGTGTGTTTTTGGAGGTGTTCTCTGTGTCTCTCCTCCTCCTCGCTGTGCGCTCTGCCGGATGACTTCAGCTCCACCGGCGTCTAGCTGCGCCTCTTTAACCCTTTGCTAACTGTTCACACTTCTTACGATGGATGGAAGCGTAAATGCGCTCTCAGCCACCCCAAACTCTCCTCATTGCACCCCAAAAAAAGTTTTCACCTGAGTTTCCCAAAGTAGGACCACAGAGACTCTATACAAATGTCCACCAAGTCTCAATAAAGGATGTTATTAAATTATTAATTTGGCAGAAAACTGACACCCAGTGTTAACCCCACCAGCCGGGGTTTAAGCACTTAGGATGCAGTTGGTATCAGATAAGAGGAACGTGCTTTGTGTTTTATCACGCACCTGCTCCACGTCCAAACGGCTGCTGTGAACAGGTGTGGGGCTTAATGCTGCGTTTACGGTCTTCCTGCAGGCTAAGGGAGGGATTTATTACAGAGTGAGACATACACACGTGCCCCTGTCTACTCCAATTGTAGCTTAATGTGCTATATAATATGTCCATATCCTACTAAGAGGCATTTTTATAGTAAAGAAGCTCGGCTGATCCTGAATCAGTGTATGTCATTAGAGTTGTGCCGAGTTACTGCGGCTGTGCAGACGCTTTATTATGTGTCAGGGTTGGATGGGTATTCACCGTTCAGGCTGCACAGCTACGTCACACCGCCGGGGTTCCCCCCTTCCGTCATGCCGGGATGATGCCTTTACGAACTGTCGGATATTGGGATCTTGGCTGAAGCGCACGTGGGTTCTAAACCGTTATTATTCAGAATGCGTTTTGTATAGGCCTACTGGCAAACATTAAATAAAAAGAACATGTTGTGATTGTGTAAATAATTTAAAGTTGATTCGACACTTAATTGTACAAATTAACGAATAAAATAATATAACACTAATACATATTTGTTGCTGCTCTGGAGACCCTGGCAAAGTGCGAGAGGGACAGAGAAGAGACTGATAAAGTGACAAATAGTCCCAATAAAGCAAACACGGAGAAAGACAGGAGGAGGCAGGAGGCCCTGGAGAGAAGACAGCACAACAAGTTGAAGCAAGAAAGACTTCAGTGGGGAGGTCGCAAGCTAGGGCTGCTCAATTAATCGTATTTTAATTGCAATTACGATTTTGGCTTGCAACGATTACGAAAACAACGTAATCGAAATAAAACGATTATTTATTTTTTTATTATAATTCTTATTTTTTATAATTTATTTTTTTATTGGTTTTTCAGTTGAATTATAGTTAAAGTTCAGGGTAATCAACTGTTAAAAACATACTGTTCAATTTTTTCCAATAAATGGATGTTTTCAAAGTAAATGGATAATCGTTTTTAATAATCGTGATTATGATTTTTGCCATAATCGAGCAGCCCTATCGCAAGCTCACAATATCATTGCTCTGAATAAAGAGCAGGAGAGTATGAGAGAGGAGGCTGACAGTCACCTGATATGAAAATGAAAACAGTCTACAACAGCTGGGTTGGAGAGAAAGCAATAGACAGTGGCCCTGTTGTTGTTGATAATTCCACCTCCTCTTTGCTGCGAAACCAGAACCAAAGTCTGATGGTATGTATCATATTCCTCTACTGTGGCCTAATTTGTCTTTTCAATTTACATGCAAGCAAACTTTTATCTTTAGAAAAAACTGCTGAAGCTTGTGTCTATTCTCTCACATAAATGTTGGGTAAATTGTGTGTAAACTGTGGAAAAATGTAAGTGGGGCCATTCCATTATAACCTAATGAGTTTAGGGAGCAAAGACCGTGACATTCTAAAGTCCCCATTTAATGATTAAGATAATGTAGTTTATAAATTGATTTCCGTGCTCATAAAGGCAACTTGCGGCACCTTGTTAGACTTTGAGAATCTGATAGGAAACATTACCAAAGCAAAGACATTAGCTGATTTAAAATGATATAAGCCAGCATGTTCAGTATAGAACTCATTTAATAATTATCTAACATATAAGCAAGAGTTTGTGAGTTTTCTACTGTCATTTTTCTACAGGAATCAAGCATGCAAGGTTTAATGTTAAATCCAAAAGTTGTCGTGATGTATGGAAATGTGTGCTTGAGCCCAATTATTTTCCCGACTGCACCTGAAGGCAGCAGTACAGGCTGTCCCCCTGCATGTACAGCAACACCATGCTTCCCCAGTTTTCTTCTTAAACCCATAAGAAGTTCATTGTGTTTTTGAGGATTTGTATTTCCATCCCAGGGATTGAATAATAAATGACTGGGAAACAAGTCTCCCCTCCTTCCTGTCAGGTACAGGCCTGAAGCTGCTCACTGGATGCATTTATCAAAATCACCTGGACGGCATGAATGCATTCATTTTTCAGCTTTTTAACGATTGGTTATACATGATGAATTGCAGCCTTGCAGTTGGACGAGGCCTGAACAGTCATTTATCATAATTTGGCATTTAGGTTTTACATTTTTTTTTTTTAAATGCATCAGTTCCTGGTCTCATTACCTCCTCACTACAGCAGCTGTGAGGCAGAGGAGGCGTGCTGGCCGGCCTTCCTCTCACAACTCCCTTATTTAGTCAGGAACAGAGAGAGGGAGGAGGGGGGGGCGGAGGGGAAAGGCAGACTTATCATTCATCATGACACTAATCCCAAACTGGCAAACTCTTTCTGTGTTTACACACACACACAAATAGAAACTATAGTCACAAAGGGGTTCTTGATGTGTCTTACCTTGCACAATAATGAATACAATGTTTGAATAACGGAGGCAATAAAGCTCCAGGGTTCATTTTGACACGCTACATCTTATTTTAATGAATACACAGCTCAGCAGCAGACAGAACTATTGTGAGGAATATCATTTTATTTAAGAATATGGCATTTCCAGGGAAGTATATCAATGTTCTGCTTGTCTATCTTGGAAAAGAATATCAACAAACTGCACGATTTATTTACAGCTGGCTCATTTCTGGTTTTAGTTCAATCTGGACGCTTGTGCTGAAGCTAAACACAAACAATGCATGTCAAATGAATATAAATATTCACTTATTACATCAGTGTCACTTCACAGATAGCCTTCAAATCTTAATGCAGGTTTGTGTTTATTACAAGCAAAGCTGTTTAATACTCTGAACCAGAGAAATTTGATGATACAATTTGAAACCACTCCAGAAACTTGGGGGGGAAAAAGGTGAACGGGAGGAATCTTGATGAAAAAGGCATGGGATTTTTTGAAATAGTTGATATTGATAATAATCTTAAAGAAACAGACACTAACAGTATTCTCCATGTGTAGAAATGTTTTATTGATGTATCAGTAACTGCTGCTGACCGCTGGTACATCTTATTTATACATACAAATTAAACTTATTTTTTGCATAATAGTTCTTACTTGGATTGTATCATAGGTCCATTAATATTACTATAAATATACAGTAGAAAAAGGCTGTACAAGTAGAAGAATAAACAGGAACAGGAACTCTATGGTCAGCAGTAGCATCCAGTCATTTGATGACTCAGGACTACAGAACAGTGTGAACATCAGCGGGTCTCCATGTTTCCTCTCATCCATCGCTGTGTCCCGCCCCAAAATGATGCGTCCATCACCCGGCAAACCGCTCTCACTTGGCGTGGCATTTGTACTTGTCCTGCTCTCGCTCTTTCTTGAGCATACACACACACTCACACTCTCACAGACACACTCAACACACTCAGCGTCTGGACAGGTCACCTCCTGCGAAGAAGAGAATATAGAAATAGAGATCCAGTCTCTCTCGAGCACAAACTTGGTGGAAGAGCCCAAATCCATAGGTGGGCATAGCAGAATCAGAAACAGGTAGGTTTACACGTACGAGGAATTTGACTTGGTGTCGTGGTGCATACATAAAAGTAAAACAAGAATTAAAAACTACAACTAGAAAAACATTAAAAATAATAAAAAATATAGTAAAATATAACAGTATTTACATTGCAATGGAAAGGAATAAATATGATCTCCCATGGTGAAATAAATAGGTGGCACAGGGACATTAGTTTATTATCTCTGGTCAAACATAAACATACTGTATCTCCCTATCTATACTGAACATCTGTGCGTCTGGAATTTTACTGATGTCAAAATATGATAGGCGCAGACATATATGCGTCATTTCAAGAGGTCATATTAAGCTCATTTTCAGGTTCATATTTTGTGCCTCTACTGTGACATGTCTCCATGCTTTAATGTTCAAAAAGCTCTTTATTTCTCTCATACTGCCTTTTCACCCTCTGTCTGAAACCAGAGCACAATCTGCTCTGATTGGTTAGCTGGCCGGCTCTGTTGTGTTAGGTCAAACACTTAGAGATGTCCCGTCTCTTAGCCTGTCATGTACAATGTGTCTGAGTGCTAGCCAATAGAAGTGTGATTGTTACGAGATAAACAAGCTCTTTTCTGATGCTATTTTATGCGTTCTGGCGATTTATTTACACGTCTCAATTCTTGAAATGTATGTATGTGATGTACAAATATTTACGCTCTGCCATATTTACTCTTCGGTCTGAGTCGCTCAGGGCTGACCACCACACTCACACACAGTTATTTAATGGACCTGCGTTTATTCCAAAAAGCCTACATGTTCTCCTTATAGCCATGGCCTACAGTACATTTACAATATTAACGCTGATTTCTCCTGGGAAGCATTTTGTCTTCATTTGGAAATGAGGTTGGACAGCATGACTTTGATATAGTCCTTAAACAATATATATTAATACATAAATAAAATATGATTCATCAAATGTATATAAAAGTACATTTGTCAAATACAAATTAAAAAAACTCCCCTTAACCCCCCTTTGTTTTGGCCATGTCACCACAGTTTATATATCAGGGGCCTTCAACCGGTTGATCATATTGTGCAGGAGCAGGAAATCGATCAGGAGGGAGTTTATATATTTGAACTGTATTTCAAATGTACCAGTTATATCTACTGCAAGTCATTTAAAATGCATTTAAGATATAAAATGCATGAAGTGTGAATCAGCAGTAAAAAAAAAAAATCTATGCAAGTCCTCTTGTGTCGGTATTGTAATGAGCGTATGTCAGTCTAAAGAGAGCACCAGATGACAAATGAGAAAGTGGCAGCTAATATGTGTAAGTGTGTGTGTGTGTGTGTGTGTGTGTGTGTGTGTGTATGTGTGTTGCGGCCACACTTAATCAAAGATTGATCGACGTACAGAACAAATCCGTCAGACGTGATGTCCGTGGCGTGTAGTGCGGGGAGGGGGTTCTGTATTGCATGTGGCTACATCCAATTAACTAACGCAATCAGCCATGTTGATGAATGGATTAGGTCATAATTGCTTCAGAGGTGGGATCCTTGATTGAATTATTCATGGTGGGCAAAGGCAAACGTATGTTCCACTAAGATTAGCTAAGTGTGTGTGTGTGTGTGTGCGCGTGTGTGTGTGTCAGGCTGGTGTTAATAATAAGTGAAGAAATAGTATGGAGAGGAAGGGACAGACATGATGGTTATTGTAACAGCCACTTACTGAGCTACTATGTGCAGGCTTATTCACACATTTATTGAAGAATAACTTTTGAGTAGCCAAATGTTGATATAATTATGACTTTAGATATGTTTTATGTTTTTGAGAATGTTACTGAGTATTATATCTCTTGGTGTTATTATCAGAATGTAATAATTCTAACCGCCTATATAAAAAAAAAAGATTGATACCAAATGTAATCTGGTTTAAAGGTTCTTTACGGTATGTGGGTTTGCCTCCAAATGGCTCAACATGACGATGGCTGAGCCGACAGCTAGCAGCTAACAGAGCTAACGGCACAAGCAGTGCTGACTCGCAGCTCACAGTGTGGACCTGTGGGGGGGGGACTGCGGGGTGGGTCTATTGTTCCAAAGTAGCTACATCAACAAAGCACAGAAAAAATCAGATTACAGTGCACAAAGAGAGAGAGAGTGAATTCCGATTCAACTCAGGCCGTCATTATTCTTTTACATAGCAAAAAGTTATTATTTCCTGAATGTTGTAAATAGACGGTTTAAAAACATTATATGTGTGCCAAGTCTGCTTTCACTGTGATATCATGTTGAAGGAGTTTCAAAAATGAGTAACAATGTCATTCCGCCCACTTGTGTTATTGTATCCCCACATCAGCATGGACGTGCTGATGACAGTTTTGATCTTTATATATTTCATGAAGTAAAAATAACTATTATCAATTGATCTAGGCTAGAGAAATCCATTTCTGGCTCACTTGATGTATAATTAAGTCATATTTGAACAACAAGTTGAGAGCAGCAGCAGTTTTCTCTCTTGAGAGTGGTTTTCACTTTGATGGAGCCATATACGGACTTATATTATTTAATAGTTATCCATTTATTTTAGTGTTGTTTTTTGTTTATAGTGAATGTTCCTTTTATTCTAGTGTAATTCAAGTTCATCGAATAAGTTGTTTTATGCTTTTGTTTGGTAGGCGTATGTTTTTTTACTATCAGGTGCATGCAAGCAAAAAGGCAAGAAAACGGTTGTACTTTATGATATGGAATCAAGAAAATAAAATCCCACAGAAATGACTTTTGCCCGTACCTTTATTAACCCATGCGTAACATTCGGTGGCACTTTGTTTTGATTTATATTTCTCTTTTATATTTTGTATGATTTTTGCCGCTTTACATGTATATTACACTTTCTGTAAAATCCTATTATCATGGGGAAAAAAAACACTCTGCAACAAACTTCTACATATGTATTTTTTTCAGTCAGACTCCCTGACTTCCCCTGTTTGGATCAAGCCTTCCATTTCCCTACCTTTCCAGTGTGTATACATGTGTCACGTGTAGCAATTTTTACATAAATTCAAAACTCTGGCTTTTCACACTGCCGAGAGCGATGAACATGCAAATCCATCAGCCACATTCATTATTCCCCACCTTGGCAGCTGGTGCACTCGCAGCTGTGGATGACGGGCAGGACCACGGGCTCGCTCTCTCCGCTCTCACACTGCAGGCTGAGGAAACGCACCGGGGTCTCAGGGTCCAGACGGTAACTGCAGCACTCACACACCGACTGGAGGTAGGGCTCCTGTAGAGAGGAGGGGGGGGGGAGAGAGGATGAAATGATGGAGAGAAGCAAGAGATCAAAGGAGAACCAGCGGGAAACAGAGATTAGAATATTATGAAGAGAGGGTGAAATAGGAGGGTGAGGAGGTTATGAGAGAATTTCAGAAGAAGCATTTAGAGAAGGAAGTACAAAATAATGTAGGAGATAGGTGAGGTGAACTAGTACTGGCTAGATTGGAGCAAGGCAGAGCAAGGAATCAAGGTGGAGGAATCAGACCTCTTTAGATTAAATTACAAAATGACACAGTGTGGAATACAGTATATAGTGTTGAGGACAATGGACCTCACAGGCAATAAATCAGACAATAGTTAAAAGCTCCACTTATACATTCTATTTTAACAAATCAAATTCAGGATATGAAAGGGGTCTGCTCACACTGATGAGACCACAGAATACGAGCTAATTTCTTTGAGCTAATGCGTTTCATTGTCCAGCATCTCTGCTCATAGCAATCTGAATTCAGACAGCTGTCTTAAAGGTGGGGTAGGTAAGTTTGAGAAACCGGCTCGAGATACACTTTTTGTTATATTCCATGGAATGCTCTTAACATCCCGATAGCAATGAATATCTTAAGTGCTTTGACAAAAAATCCATAAAAAAATGTCATCTGTGGAAGCCGTAATACTGTAAAAAGTACGACCAATCATTTTAGCCGGCCCAGCTAAAATAACTGGATGGCCTACCTGCCTGTCAGCCTTCCATCTGTGCACAAACTTATCTCGTGCCCTCATTGGTCATGTGCGCGTTCGTGTGTGTTGGAGGAGGGGCTCTATAAGGAAGTGGCAGATTTTCTCCGGTTGTGTATTTTCAAATTCTAGCGATCTCGAGCCGGTTTCTCAAACTTACCTACCCCACCTTTAAGTATACTATGCTCCAATAAGCCTATTTCGAACCCTCCTAGCAAAACAGCAGACAGACTTACTGTAGATGGTGACAAGCTGATTAACACAGTTCAGCAATTATCAGGGTCTTGTGTCTAAAGGTTGGTTTTGTTCGAATCAAACACCACCATATGAAGTTGTTATGACAAACGTGTTGGATGATTGCTGCTTTTGTTCACATCCAACAGACACCGTGGGCTTATCAGCGCCTTTTCATTAAAAGCATCTGTCTGCAAGCAGCAGGAAATAACTCACAGAGAACAGTGAGAATAAAGCAAACACCGACATTAAAGCTACTGGTCATAAAATGCTGCAATAAGCTGGAAGGTAATGAAATGTTTAATGGTGATAAGTGGAACTGCCTGGTCAGTTAATAGTTATTTGTAGGTTCATCAGTGTGTGCTAAATCCTTTTATATTGCTTATTTTAAAAACAAACGTATTGATTTCCTGCCAATTAAACCACTGCCGACACTGAAGTCCTTAAGGTAATCATAAAATATAGATATAAATATTAATAATAAATAATAACAATTGCCTCCCAAGTTAGTCAGAGATGTCAAATTGAATCAGCTAAACGGCAACAACAAAAAACACAACATTTGAAATTGGCTGATTTCGTAACTCCTGAAAAACAAAATCCCAGCCTTGGATGATAGAAGCTTTCTTCTTAGAAGTTGTTCTCATGTGTCCAATTAGTGCAGGCGCCGATCCAAGGAGGAGAGAGATTGTGCTAGCAGAGAATAATAGATAATAGGAGAAGGAGGTGGAGGGGTGAGGGAGTCCGGCGTAAGAAAAAAACAACTTCAATCTCTCCATAAAATAGTTATTAGTGCTTCACACACTTTGAAAAGTGCAGTGTGTGTGTCAGTTTCCCTGATCAGGGGGAAGACCTGCTGAAGGGCTTTTCTCTGCGCTGCCTAGTCACTGGTTACCATCCCCTTGTTGCCACAGTAACAGGAGGTAATGACACTTTTGGCTGAGCGCGTGTTTAATCAGACTGCCTCTATGTTTAACAGCGATGTATGGATGCCAAGGAAGAACAAAGTCTCCATGGTGATCAGATGATGAGCCTGCTATCTAACAAAGGAGACGAAAACAAGTGAAGGAAGAAGAGAAAGAAACTGGGGCATTTATTATTTATTTTTATTACCTGCCCTCGAGTCATCTGTGTGAAATATGTGTTAACTGCTGACAGAAGGCTAAATGATCAATACATTTTCCTTAGTCCACAGTTTTAGACTGATGGCTGTTCCCTGTGTTTACCTCTGAAGATATTACAGCAGGTGTGACCAGCAGCATGTGTTAGACTTCATTTTGATTTGAAAAAACACTTCTGAAACCTGATGCCTGGGCACATTTCAGGAGGGGAGCAGATGGACGATTTGGATGCCCAGAGATTTAAAGCAACATTTTTGATTATTAATTTGCATACTGTAAAAAATTAAATGATTGATGGCCTTGCTAGGATTTAAACTTTTTTTTGTACAGCTTTTCGGCTTTTTGTATCAGCATGTTTTAATTATTTAATCAATTTAGTCCTGCAGACATTCCAAAAGTAAATGCAGATTTTTCTCTGGCATTGCACTATATGATTACAATTTGCAAACAAAAATAACCAACAGCTTTTTCTCTTCTCGCTCTGGACCCTTGAAGTCTGTTTTGCTGCCTGTATTGATATGTATTGTGCTACCAGCTGTCACTCATGTCGAAGTCAATACTAGCCAGTGTTGCCTTCGAGTGTATTATCTTCTCTGTGTGTATATGTGTGTTCTCCGTACCTCCAGGATAACATCAGTCCTGGACAGACAGCGTCCCCTGCAGAAGCTGACCTCCACGTTGTCAAGCCGACAGTCTCCCTTAGTGATGTTCCTGACCTGCACGTAGCGACGACACTCTGGCACGGGCTCGTCTGAACAGAGAGGAGCAGGGAGAAGGGCCAAAAGAGGTTGGAGAGACCAAAGGGAAACAGAGGAGGAGGAGATTATGAGGAGCCGTGATTGGGCATGAAAAAAAAGGAAGAAGAGGACAAAGAGCCAGAGCCAGAGAGTTCACGGTGACATTGCATGTGACATTTTCCTCCACTGAGAGAGCGATTAAAGCCCCAATGAGAGTTAAGCACTGAAATCTCTCACTAATTGGGCACTGTAGCACTTGGTTTTTTAGCCTCCTATAAAATGAACTAGAGAATATTCAAATCGTATGAAGTGGTTTTGAAGTGATGACATGGAATAAAGGTAGCTACTGTGAGTGTTTGTTTGACATTTGCATGTTTCATAACCGAGCAGCAATCTCTGTGTCTGTAAAGTAAAGCCAATGCAAAATGAACTACTTTTCACTCAGTTTATTACCTCAGTAAACATGTTCCAAATGAGCTTCTGGTCTCAATCACTTGTTATAAATCTTTGTCACTGAAGCATGTTTATTTTCATAATTATTGACCCATTTAGAGTAAAAATAGATCAGAAATAGGGATGAGCTTTTGGGCGTGGCTACATTGTAGAAGACAAAATGTTACCTGGTTATAAAAAACAAGATGGCGATGCCCTTAAAAACCAAGTTGGAGAATATGCCAAGATTCAACAACATTCTCAAACCAATTTACAGTTTGATGCCATGTATGATTTCCACTTCTTATATTCAGTCTATGTTTACAACAATTAATGTTTCAACTGTTCCATGTGTCTTTCTTTACCACAGATGAACACACATTACTCCTTATGGTAATATGGTCACAGTGTAAGGTGATTCATGGATTGTGAGATGTGTTTTACTGCATGTCTGTTGTACTAACCTGGAAACTGCTTTCTACACACTGGACAGCAGCTGCCTGGCTCCTCCACCTTCACCTCCCCCTAAAGAGAGATAATGATGAACACAAAAATGTAAAAATATTCTCCTGTGCGCTATCAACACACACAGTAATAATTGGGCATTACAACTTCAGCTCACATTTTATAAACAGTAAATATTGTTCAAAGGACAACAACCAATTCTACGTTTGTTAAGAATCAGTGGGCCCAGTACTGTACCCCTCTGACTGAAATTTGACATGAACATGGTTAGATGAAACGTTATTGAAATGTATCCCGTAAAAATGGTGGATGGGTCATCCAATAATTTTACATACAATGCAAAAAACACAAAAACAACGTTCATGGTAATCCATCAAATAGTTAAAGGGGACCTATCATGCAAAATTCACCTTTGTACGTCTTTTATACATGAATATGTGTCCCCGGTGTTCCAGGGAACTCACCAAGAGTCAGAAAACACAACCCTCTCTCTTTTCCTCCATACCCAAATCTCTAAAAACGGGGATGCAACGGATCTGATACAGACTGATACAGATTTGAACACTTTACTGACGTCAGGACGGTGGCGCTACGGCTATTGGGCCAACTCCACCAATCAGGAGGAGACAGCCACGGCCATTGCCGTTCGAAAGTGCTGGAGACGCTGTAGTACATATGCCAGGCCTGTAGGTGGTGCTGTTCTCACAGAATCAGCCCTTGCAAAAACAGGGCTAAAGAAGTGCAAATTGAGCGAAATGAGGCATGGCTAAAATGCATGATCTGTTTGGTATTTTGAAAAAAAAAAAGTATAAATATGCCTTATATAGGTATGGTCCTACACTATATTATTATAATATAGCATGATAGGTCCACTTTAAGTTAAGAATATCATCAGCCCGTATCATCACCCGCACCAAATCCTCTGACCACATCCGCCCCATCCTCATCCAACTGCAATGACTCCGTGTTCAATCCCGGATCAACTACAAAAACCTCCTGCTTCCCTACAAAGCCCCCCACAACCTGGCCCCCACCTATCTGGCTGACCTACACCCCCTCTCGCTCCCTCCTTTCTTCCTCTGCTGGCCAGCTAACCGGCCTCAACCCACGCCTCGTCACCATGGGTGCTCGGGCTTTTAGCTGCACTGCTCCCAGACTCTGGCACTCTCCCCCCCCACACATCCGACAGTCTGACACCACCAATAAATCCCACCTAAAAACCCTACTCACTGTAGTGCTCACCATCCTCTGTGTGCCCTGAAAAACCTGTCCCTATCATTTGTGTCTATTTTGATTGTCTCCTCCATGATTGCCTGTTTGTGTTTTAATCATGTTCTGTCGCTTTTGACCTCTTAAGAGTATTTTCTAAACTGTACAGTGTCCTTGGGTGCTGTGAAAGGTGCATACAAATAAAATGTATTATTAGGGTCTGAGACCATAGGTCGGCGAAGACCCTATTGAAATCGGTCGCGCAGCGACCGATAAACCTGCTAAAAACACCCAAAAACAGGGAAAACGACCGGCAAAAGCACAGAAAAGGTTCGGAAATAGTGACGGCAGATAGTCCGCGCGAGCCCAGTCACGTGGGCTTCGCCCACGTGATTGCAACTCGCATAATTAATATCGTTACAATCAATTTAGTCGCTCGCGAAGCGAGCGATAACCATGCAAAACCCACTAAAAACAGGGAAAAAGACGGGTAAAAGCCCATTAAAAGTGGCCTAAATCATGACAGTAGGTAGCCCAACGGCCTACAGTGACGTGGGCGTAGCTACATATGTGAAAACTCACCATATTTTGCACGCGCGTCAGAAGTGGTGCAACTTGAGATGTGTAATTGGTCCCGGAACTTTACGTCAAAAATTGCGTAGGCCACGCCCACTTCCGTTTTTAACGTTAACTCCCCCTACTTTAACTTTCACGTAAACGAACGAAACTCGCTACGCATATCTAGGGTGCGGAGACTAACAAAAAAGCCTCTTGGAGGGGCATAAAATAACGTACAGGAAGTTGGCCATTTTGAATTTGGCGTCGAAAAAGGCGTCAAAAAACGCGATTTATCGCTCGATGCTAGGCCCATCAAACGCCATGGAATACGATGATGTCATCACTCAAACTGACATGCTCAGAACGCCACCAAACTTCACAATGTTGTCTTAAGTCAATGGAAAATGGTCCAATCTACACCAGACTTCAGATGACAGTTAATGGTCCGGCCCTCAACAGCTCTACGTGAAATCTGAGATCTCACCGTATGCCGTTTCCATGGCAACGAATCACTCGCCATAAAACACGATGTTGTCTTACGTCAATGGAAAATTTTCCAAACGGCACCAGACTTCAGATGACAGTTAATGGTCCGGCCCTCAACAGCTCTACGTGAAATCTGAGATCTCACCGTATGCCGTTTCCATGGCAACGCATCCCACGCCGTAAAACACGATGTTGTCTTAATTCAATGGAAAAGCTTCCAAACGGCACCAGACTTCAGATGACAGTTAATGGTCCGGCCCTCAACAGCTCTACGTGAAATCTGAGATCTCACCGTATGCCGTTTCCATGGCAACGCATCACTCGCCATAAAACACGATGTTGTCTTAAATCAATGGAAAATGTTCCAAACTGCACCAGACTTCAGATGACAGTTAATGGTCCGGCCCTCAACAGCTCGAGACACCTACACACACACCTCGACGTGCGGACAACAGCCTGCGGAGCGTCGAAGACCCGCTCAACGCTGCTTGCAGCTTTAATTATTATTATTATTGGAATGATCATTTAATATTGTTTTATTATGTTATCCTGATGTTGCATCTTCATAACAAGGGAAGATGCTGGCATCTCTAAAATACAAGATCTCCATAGGTGGGAATCCTTAATTTATTTTGCAATTCAGGACAACTAAGAAGTGGAATTAGGAGTTACATTCACTAATATGTGAGAGTGGTTTGTGCATGTCATATCACTTGGTAAAGGATAAACTTGAAATATTTTCTTGAAAAATGTTTGTTATCAGCAATGAGTACTGCTAGTTTCAATTCAGAGAGTAACACCCAGGATGAACAAGAACATGGTTGAGATACAGCGCAGAGATAGCAAAAGGACCAGAAAAAAAAGGCAAAGAGTGAGATATAAAGACCAAAAATAGCAAGAGAGTAGCACAAAGTCACAGAGAGAAGGAGCTAAGTCACTGAGAAAGAAAGATCCAGCAGGTTGTCCCGTTTTGTCCCTGTCTTTGAATAGCTACAGTTAGGATCCAATCACTGACAGAATGCTTCAGCACCCCCACCAACACAAAAAACATTGACATTTTAAGCAGATATAAAACGTCTCATTCTTCCCATGCTCCTTCTAACTATTCACCCTGAGGTCTTCTCCTCTAAATCTGCACTGCCGCCATTCCCTCAGGGAGAGAGAGCCTTCACACAGGGTGGAGGTCACAAAGCGGACCCTTTTAAGTCCTTAAAGTTAGAAGAGTGTGTGTGTGTGTGTAAGTGTCTGATGTGGCGAGGGGTTAAAATGGTGTGAAATGTCGATTCCTGGCTAAGGAAAGGGCACTTGGCATTTAAAGTAAATGTAGTGAAATGTGTCTTCAGCAGGCTGTGAAATACAAATCAAGGCTTTTTTTATTGTGTCTGGAACACTGTGAGAGCAGTCTGTGTCCTGCTAGCTTTTATCACCCGATATGATAACAGAACCTTTAAAGCAACACCATGAAAAAGGGCCTTCGGGCAGAGCGGAGGCATGTTGAGATTGAATTTGAAAAAAAACTATTGTGCTCAACTGTAAGCTATGAGTCATAAACAACTGAGTTCACTGCCAGTAACCAATTATCAACCTGTCAGTGGAGGGAACAGTGCGCATTAAATGACCTTTTTTACATTAGTCGGGATAAGAAGCGCTTTCACTGAGGCATAACTTAGTGCAGCCACGGGAGGCGAGGGATTTGAAAATGCAAGAAATAATAAGAGTTCCTCCAGAGACAGAAGGCGCCGCCGCTGAAACCGTGTGCAGCAAAGGTGTAACAATCAGCAGACTGTCTACACTGCGGAGCTCACTGTAAAATCAACCTCTCTTTTAAAGTTCTGGGTGTCAGCAGAATTTATTTTCGCCCCAGCCTTTATACAGCCCTGGTGGGCTACACATATAAATTCAGGTTATTGCGCCGGAGAGGAGACAGTTCACTTTTGTACCGTGACTTTTCTCGACTCAATTACCATGGAGACAAGAGCTTATATTAATGAAGTATGCTGATTGGTGGGTAACCTTCTATTTAAAGGATTAGTTTACCTGAATGTACATAAGGTTTAAGAAGGAGGATCATGAAAGAAGATGCAGATACAACTGCATTTTGTAGTCCTTTAAAGAGAGTTAGAACTACTACAGAATACCACTTGCATCTGTTAGACAGAGGGGGGAAATTAGGCATTTTTGTTAATGAGAAATGGTTTCCATCTTCTCTCCATGTTGGCTGGCTCTAACACTGTGCAGCAGATTTAGTTTAGATCATTTTTAGATCTCTAGATCAGTATAGATACTATATTTAGATTAGAGCAACATAATTCATTCTGGCGACCCCAATTTATCCTCAAGTGCCATCATTTAGTCGAAATGTTTATTTGTTGATACTTAGGCTTATGGTAGGATACCTGCAAACCAATCTCATTCCCATTAAGCTCTATTTACAAGTTAAGTTACAACTAGATTTTTTTAGCATGCTCAATTACGATGCTAACAGACAAGGTGAAAATGACAAACATTATGTGTGTAAAACATCAGCATGTTAGCATTGTCATTGTGATAGCATTTAGCTCAAAGCGCTGGTGTCCCTCAGTATAGCCTCACAGAGCTGCTAATCGTCCTAATTACCCTTTAAATATGGCATAGCACTGCAGCGGAGGAACAAAGGGAGTCGAAGCATTGCAAAGGGACTTTAGGAAGAGAATAACGTAATCCCACAGAGAGCAGCCTCAGTGGGACGCCAACAACAAACAATGTTCAGATTAACATTGTCATACCCTTCTCCTCTATTTCTATCCGCAGGATAGACTGTGTATTTA